AGTAGTAGTAGTAGTAGTAGTAGTAGTAGTAGTAGTAGTAGTAGTAGTAGTAGCAGTGGTAGCAGCAGCAGCAGCAGTTGTAGTAGTAGTAGTAGTAGTAGTAGTAGTAGTAGTAGTAGTAGTAATAATAGTAGTAGTAGTAGTAGTAGTAGTAGTAGTAGTAGTAGCAGCAGCAGCAGCAGCAGCACCAGCAGTAGTAGTAGTAGTAGTAGTAGTAGTAGTAGTAGTAGTAGTAGTAGTAGTAGTAGTAGTAGTAGTCTAGTAGTAGTAGTAGTAGTAGTAGTAGTAGTAGTAGTAGTAGTAGTAGTAGTAGTAGTAGTAGTAGTAGTAGTAGTAGTAGTAGTGGTGGTGGTAGTAGTAGTAGTAGTAGTAGTAGTAGTAGTAGTAGTAGTAGTAGTAGCAGTGGCGTCGGTGGCCTAGTGGTTAGGCTCTCGGACTCGCAACCGTAAGGTCGTGGGTTCGAATCCCGTCAGGGACCCTACATTATGTCCTTGGGAAAGGCACTTTACACGAATTTTCCTCACTTCACCCAGGTGGGAATGGGTACCCGGCTATAGACAGCGAAAGATCTTGTCAGTTTGTTAGTGTTTGAGCGCTTAATCGGCTGCTTGCACTGTATGCTTCCCGGGAAGCTGAGAATGTTTCGGAGTATTCTATGGTCTGCTGGGGTAATAATATAGTGTAAAGCGCATAGAGCCTGCTGTTGAGCGGGGATATGCGCTATACAAATGCTATCTATTAGTAGTAGTAGTAGTAGTAGTAGTAGTAGTAGTAGTAGTAGTAGTAGTAGTAGTAGTAGTGGCGAGACCGAAGTAAGGAAACCGAGTGATTCAAAACTGTTTAGCCACAAAATGCACAAATTTAGTCGTATCAACATTATGGAAAAGTGGTGACCAGAAGAGGGGGCGAGGAGAGGGGACGAGGAGAGAGGGCGGGGAGTGGGGGTTGGTAGGGAGGAAGTGATAATAATGCATCTGCTGTCCAAAAACAACAAAATCTCCCTCTCTCTCTCTCTCTCTCTCTCTCTCTCTCTCTCTCTCTCTCTCTCTCTCTCTCTCTCTCTCTCTCTCTCTCTCTCTCTCTCTCTCTCTCTCTCTCTGACAGAGAGAAAGAGAGAAGAACCAGAGGGAAAGAAATGAAGTGGGGTGATCATCAGAGACGGAGAGTCACTTTCTTAAAGTTTCAGTAAGTGTTTTACTAACTGCACTCGCAACGCCAATCGGACAGAAAGCGAAACAGGGAGGAAGGGAGAGCTATAAATATGAAGTAGGATCTATCTGGAAAGCTCTGTGGAGAGGCCCACGGTGTAAAAATTGTGACTCTGTTAGAGTTTTACTCTCCTGACAGACCTTTGTGGGACAGACAGAGAGAGAGATTCTTCGACAGAGCGTGTGACTATCATATCCACCCACACTGAGGGGGGATACAAATCCCCAAGTGAAAAATTACTTCCTCACTCAGGAATTGAACTGAACCCACGTCTTCTGCGTGCGATAGCTAAGTGGCTAGCGGCTAAACCACAGGAAGAAAGACAAGGTCTGGAAAAATAGAATAAACGTCTTCCCTTATTTTAACCTTATCCGTGCGTCGTGTTTTACTGTCGTATCCATACGACGTGGGGAACTCTGTGCCACCACTTTCCAAAAAGGAAATCTACTCGTTAATCCGATCCGTACGCTTTGCACAGCAGTCTGTCAAAATGATTTTTGGAGAAATAGTGAAGGTTTCAAAGAGATCTTCGTACTAGAAGTATTCTAAAATGTGTAGAATACAACCCCGAGGCTACAATATGACCCCAGGGCGTACGGATAGGGTTAAGACTCCGGTACATTGGTTGTCATGGAAAACAGGCTAGGACACGCTATCGTACGTACGTATTTCTTTGAGCCTGTCTCTAGTCCACGTTACGACTACTGCAACTCTCCAATCGGTAAGTAGATCTGTGATCGGGTCGGCGTCCCTTTGTCCTAAGTTGTCTAGACAGAGTGCGTAGTCACCGGCGAGAGAGGAGATATTCAAAATGACGTCTGGGATGTTGGGTAGTCCGGGGATAGTTACTCGTGTTTAACCGCCAAGGGCCACCACGTTGGGGGCAACAGACGACAAAAAGCCATTTTCTTCCAGACAATGAATGGCCGGGGGTTATTACTTTGTTTTGTTTGGGGTGGGGTTTTTTCGTTGTTGTTTTTTTCTTCCAAGAGAAACAGTAAGTTGCATCTTCTTCTAGTAGCTGCATTCTTAAAGGATTTGTTTCAACTTTGTTTTGTTTGGGGGGTTTTTCGTCGTTGGTTTTTTTTCCCCAAGAGAAACAGTAAATTGCATCTTCTTCTACGAGTAGTAGCCGCATTCTTAAAGGATTTGTTTCTACTTACAGGGCAGGACGCTGAGACTCTTGGGAAGTGACAAAATGCCGCTTGCCCTTCAGACGTCGACCCCAGCCAAGTTTGTTTTACATAATGGAGCAGCACCTTCCTTCTTCCTCAGACAATCTTGAAAGGCGATTTCTTTTATTTTACACAATGTCTTTGGGGATGACCAATCCGTACACACCCTCTGCTCCTAGTAACGATGCATCAACGTCACCATTCTGTCAACATCGGCTCTGTTACCCGAATTGTGAATCAAAAACAGTTTCCTAAGATTTTCTACCTCTGACACCCCCTTCTCCCTCTCTCTCTCTCTCTCTCTCTCTCTCTCTCTCTCTCT